CTAACATAAGAAATCTATAAGCATCAACACAGAAAACAAAATAAAAGCTAGAAAATGACAAGGTGAAAAAGCAAAATGTAGTCCCAAATGCCCAGGCTACCCAAGACAAGTCCAGAGCACAAAGACATAGGAAAACTTGGAAGCCAACAAACATAAATCTCTGAAATGATAACAGGAGGAGGGAAGAAATGGAAAAGGCCATAGAAAAATAATCTCTAAGATACAAAAAGAAATGACTATCAAAATAAAACACATTAAAGCAGAGACGTAAACAAATAGAAGAGCTCAGGAAAATGATAGAAACTATGAATCAAATATAGACAAGAAATGAATCAATGAGACAAATCCAAACAGAAATATAGCAGATTAGAAACTCCAGTGAAAGTACATGCAGCACATTGAATGAAGGCGAAGACAGACTATCAGGTCTGGAAGACAGGCATGCAACAAGTGAATGGGAAAAGAGAAGTATCTTGAAAACTGCAAAAGAACACAAGAAATCAATCGAACGGCTACAGGATGAAGCAAAGAAGGACAGCACAGAGTGACAAAGCTGGGGACAGCACAAAATCTATTAAAAACTCCCTCACAGAAATGATGGCTGAAAACTTCCCAAATAAGGATATTTTATTTACATAAAATAAATGGAGCTTATAAAACTCCAAATAGTCATCACCAAGATAAATCAGCACTGAGGTGTATACCAAGATTCTAAAAGCTCAGCACAAGAACAATATTAAAAGCGGCTAGAGAAAAGTCACAGATCGCCTATGAAGCAATGCTGATCAGAATCACAGCAGACTTCTAAAGGCAAACCCACACATCAAAAAGAGCTTGGAAAGAGGTATTTCAAGCCCTAAAGGAAAACAATCTTCAATCCAGATTGATGTACCTACAAAACTATCTTTCACAATTGATGGAGATATAAGGTACTTTCATCACAAAGAACAATTTATGACCACCAAATCAGTTCTACAGAATGTTCTGAAAGACATATTACAAAGAGACGAACTCCAATAGAATGAAGTAGTCAAGGAGGACAAGCAATTAAACAGGAGCAAAACAATATGAGAAAAAAAGCCAATATATATCAGTTATAACCATCAACATAAATGGTCTGGACCCACCAATCAAAAGAAACTGACTGACAGAACAGCTCAAAAAGCACAACTCAACAATATGCTACATGCAAGAAACCCAAAAAGAAATTCACAGACTAGAAGTCAAAGGATGGAAAGCAATTCTACATGCCACAGGAACCCAGAAAAAAACCAGAGGTAGCCATTCTATTTGCAGACAATGCAAACTTTAAGCCAAAACTGATCAAAGAGAAAAAGGTCACAATATACTTATTAAGGAAAAGTTCCAAGAAGAGATAGCAATCAAATAATATGCATGCACCAAACACAGGTTCACCCAACTGCATAAAACAAATATTAACAGACTTGGAAAACCAAATCAACACTAACACAATTATAGTGCAAGTCCTTAACACCCTATTCTCACAAATAACTAGATCAACTAGACCAAAAATCACCAAAGAAATATTATAATTGGTCCATGCCTCTAAGCAAATCATTTGATAGAGGTCTACAGAGTGTTCCACCTTAAAATATCAAAATATACATTCTTCTTATTTATACATGGGATGTTCTCCAAAATAACCATATATTAACAGAATATGTTTAAGTAAATGCAGAGAAACTGAGAGCATTCCATGCATACTATCTGACCATAGCCAATGAAACTAGAAATCAACAAAAATGGAAGTCAAAAAAGTAAATTATACACATGGAAATTAAACACCACCCTTATGAACAACCCAATCGGTAACAAAAGAAGTTAGAGATAAATAGCACATACAGCTCAATAGGGCAGTACAACATACTGAAACTTACAGAACACGATGAAAGCAGACCTAGGAGGGAAATGTGTAGTGGTGAACTCACACATCAGGAAAACAGAGCAAGCTTACGTAAACAACCTAATGTTGAATCTCAAACTTCTGGAAAGAACAAATCAAACCCAAAGTTCATACAAAGGAGGAAATTATAAAAACAAGAACAGAAATGGATGCAATAGAGACTAAGAAAACAGTATAAAGAATGAATTGAAAAGTTGGTTTTTTGAAAGAATAAATGAAACTGACAAACCATTAGCCAATCTCTCTAAAAGGGGAAGCTTACAATACAAATTCAAACAATTAGGAATGAAAAGGGGAAATCACAATGAATCCCACAGAAATACAAGAGATCATCAATACCTACTATGAGGACCTATATTCTTGTAAAATGCAAAACAGAAGAAATGGACAGATTCCCAGACACAATCGAATTAACAAAACTAAATCAAGTCAAAATATTCTAAATAACTCGATATTGGCCAATGAAACTATAAATGTAATTAAAAATTTAACAACAACAAAAGGCCAGGCCCTCACAGATTCACTGTTGAATTCCACAAGAAATTTAGAGAAGAACAAATGCCACTAATGCTGAAACTCTTTAAAAAAATTGATAGGGAAGCAATACTGCCAAAATCATCTCTGGAAACAAGTATTTCCTTGATTGCAAAACCAAAGAAGAATGCAACCAAAAATGAAAACTAAAGGCCAATCTCTCTAATGCACATAAATACAAAATTCTTAATTAGACACTGGCAAATAGAAATGCAGCAAATCTTCAAGAAGTTCATATACCATGAACAAATAGGATTCATCCCAAGGGTTCAGGAATGGTTCAACATAAGCAAATCAATAAATGCAATACAGCATATTAACAGAACCATAGACAAAAATGATATTATCACCTCAACAGATGCAGAAAAAGCATTTCACAGAGCCCAACACCCATTCATATGATAATCTGAGTATTATATATTCATATATTACATATGATAATAAAAAACCCACACATAATTGGAAGATATGGTTTTTATCTCAAGTTTATGAAAGCCATCTATGACCAATCAACAGCTAACATCATATTAAATGATCAAAATCTGAAAGTTTTCACTCTAAAATCAGGAAGAAGCCAAAGATGTCCATTATCACCACCCTTATTCAATATAGTTTTGGAAATACTAGTCAGAGCAATCAAACAAGAGAAAGAAATAAAAGCAATAAGAACAGGAAAGGAGGAAGTAAATTATCATTATTTTCAGATAACATGATAACCTGTATAGAAGGCTTCAAAAACTCTATTTAAAAAACTTGATGATTTAATAGCCAAATTCAGCAGTATAGTGGGATACAAAGTCAGCATTCAAAAATCTATAGCATTCCTGTACACAAGCAACAAACTCACAGAAAGAGGAAGAATCAGTCTAACAAAGGATGTGAAAGATCTGTAGAGTGAAAATTATAGTGCCCTTAAAAAGGAGATCAAAGAGAATATCAGGAAATGGAAAGACATCCTTTGTAATAGCCAAATCTCAAAAACAACCCAAATGCCCATCAACTGAGGAAAGATTTAAAAAAATGTGAATTTTTAATATAATGGAGCACTACTTAGCCATAAAGAAGTATAAACTGGGTTCTTTTGTTGGTAACTGGATGCAGCTTAAGACCGTACTCCTGGGTGAAATAAGTCAGACCCATGTGTGTAAACATCGTGCTGTCTCCCTAGTGTGAGAAACTGAAGGGTCCCAAAGCATACAAGAGATCTTGTGGAGTGGAAGAAACTGTTCAAAAGAAAAAATAAGCTGTGATGGGGGAAAGGGAAAAGGAAGGAAGGGAAAAATATATATATACATATATATTTACACACAAGAGAGTTCAGAAAGTTTACAGCTGCTTCAGCTCTTAGTTCATAGAAAAGAAAGGTTTGCACTAGCATTGTTTGGAGTAGATACCATGCTTGTGTCTTGTTCTCTGAATATATTCCATGAAGACAACAATATACAATGTATTAGTTATTATAACTCTCCTACTAACCTGTTTTGAAACTTTTATTGTTGTTTTTATATTTTTCTCTTTAAAATTAAAAAAACTAAAAATGTACTTAAATTCTTATGATATTTATACCTTGTCTTAGAAATTTACAACCTTCACCTACTTCTGTAGTTTCATTAAATACTACGTGAAGTTTAATGTTATACAGAAATTAACTTATTTCTGTGGACATTGAAGAATAATAAATTTAAGTAACTTTTACAGTACAAGTTCAGTGACAATTGGCAAGGCAGTAGAGGGGTATTTCCAAAGAGTCCGTCTTACATGAAGCATCTCACTGTGCATCTTTCTGCAAATTCCTGGGCCAGGTGGTGCACTGGCCTCGCATGCCAGCCTGAATTGCACCTGTTGAACGTCGCATCTTTGTCAATTTCCAAACATCACCTACTGGATTTGCTTTTTTAAAAATAACTTTCTTATGTATTCAAATCCTGAGTTTTATTTTATGTTTCTTGTTTCCTAATCTTTATTTTGAAGAATAATCTGATAGGGAATGTACGGTGCCCAAATTATCTTCATGACTGTTTTATAATGCACAATTATCAAATTTAACACATATATAAGTATCCACATAATAAATCACTCCCACACACCCTAACACAGTGTTTTTCAGTTTAATGAAAGTACAAACCTGAACAGCAATAGCTCTTCAAATATACACAAGCTTCATCTGTTAATATACTTTGCTTTCCTAATGAAGCTAAAAATTGTCACTTGTTTAAAAAAGTCAACTTGTTTCTCATATATGGTGACAAACTGCCAATGGCTGTGCTCCCTTCCAAATGCCCTCAAAAGCAACATTGTGCAACCAGCATCTCAAATTAGACCCACAGGGAATGGACGGTTCATCAGTATTTCTATCTGTCCATCTTACACCTGATAAATCCTTTAGCTTTTCCTTATATGTAGTTGCAATTGAAAACTGAAATTCTTTCAATTATATCACTTATGAAACAAAATGTACTCAGAAAATCAAGCCAGAAAGCCATGTTGTGTAAAGAAACAAAACAAGAATATAAAGGATTTAGAGACTGAATCTTGTACTCACGGAATGCTCTATAAAATTCGTCCAGAGCCAGGTGCTTGTCCGCGTTGAGATCGTCAAACTTCAGCAGATCATACAAAGTGCATTCAGAATGGTCCTTGGAAAGATCCTCCTGTTTTATCACCTGACGAGCAAATTACAGCCACACTTTTATACATGCATTTTCCATTTCTTTAATATAGTAAATTGTAGACAATCATCACATAATAGATCAATTTAAGTCTGCAGTGGGACAATGTAATAAGCCTAAGGAAAATCCAGGTTTCCAATTATTTTAACTATTTAAAAGATAAAATTATAATGTAGTGAGAATTTCTGCGAAGTTTCCAACAAAATGTCCTCAAAATGGGACTCAAGAAGCATGAATATTTTTGTATTTTACACATTTACTCTGCTCCATTTATACTAATTTTAGGAAATAACCCTATATATAAATTTTGTCCTGTGTCTCGGTGTCCTATGTCAAAATGATTTTCTTTCCCCTAAAAATAGTGAAGCAGTTTCTGCCCATTTTTCCTTCATAATATTTGTGAAAAATGGAGTCGGGTGTTTTCCTCCTCTGCCTAAACTCCTCCCCAGCTGGTAATGAAGCCTTGCGGGATTGTTTACATCTCAGCCACCAAGTGGCAACCGCCTCCAGTGCCAGGCAGGATTAAAGCACTGACTGAGGATGGAAACCTATCCTAGTGTGGGTAAAGTGCTCAACACCATCAAGGTACTTGGGACCCCGTGCTCAGTCCTTGGGACTAAAACTACAGCTTTGTCACATTCTCTTGATTTTGACTATTTCCTGTCCCATAACAGAGCTCCCTCAAATTCTCAGACACTCACATACATTTGGGCAACTAGACAGCTGTGTCTGAGATCTCCCAAATACAAAGGGAAGAATGCACTGGGTCTTCAGTGCTTTGTTTTAAAAGTGTGGCAGATTAATCAGAAAACAGAATCTCTGAAGTCAGCCAGCTCTGTATTCATGTCCTGCCAATTCAATTTTAGAGCTCTGTAATTCCTGCCAAGTCATTTCACCTTTCCGCAACTAGAAACTGAAAGGCAAAATTACCCCACACACAGTCAAGTGCAAGCCAGAGCAGACAGCATGGATCCTACAGGGATCAGTATGATTAAGAGTAATGATCCTTTGTGTGACACTCATCTTCCAATAATTCACTGCTGGCTTCCAGATGCCAGCATGCGGGGGCCACAGCCACAACTCACAGGGTTGTCCTTTCTTTGAGTAAGGCAGAGAATTTTAGACATCCTTGGTGTCATGGTGGCACATCACAGGTGCCCTTCTCTGAAGAGCCTCAGATGCTTTTGAGCTGTACCTATAAGCCTGCTTTGCACACTGCTACATTGACAGTTTGGCCACCCAAATCAAACTAAACGAGAATGGGCTTTCTTGGTACGACTGAGGGCAGTGTGGACACATGGTCAGCATAGCCTTTAGCACACTCTGGTCAGGTCCTCTGCAGACTACAGAATAGTACTTCACAGACGGCCAATGGCATCCCTAGCATCTCGTGAATTCTCCATTGTTGTGTGTGCTAGAAATTTGTTTGGTCCAGACTGGTATTTGCCATCTTAGAGCGGGGAAAGGTGAAAAGTTTATCTAGTTTAACTGGGCTTTGTAAATAGGTATTATGGATGGTATTTGCCGTTCACTCCGCACAGTCCAGCTGAAAGGATTAACAGAACTGCCTAATGGCCAGAGTTATCTCCTGAAAAGATCAGAAAACAGATCCTGCTTTTCTATTAGGAAAGCCAGGAGCTCTCAGTCAGCCTCCATCTGTTTTTGGTTATATCCCAGAAAGCGACCCATCCTGGGAACCGCATCTGAGCAGACCTTAGGGTGTTCTTCCCAAAGGTGTTTATTCCCGGAGCTGCAATGTCCGGAGGCAGTGATCTCAGAAGCAACAGAGTCTCTTAGTAGGACTGAAGTGACTTTTATTCTCCTACATATTTGTAAGTAGAGATGACATAGAGAGTTTGGGGAAAATATTTGCCATCGTTTTGTTGTTGTTTTGTTTCACTTTGGTCTCACATTTTATTCAATCACTTTGGTCTCACATTTTATTCAAATTCAATTGACATACTAGACTTAGGTGACAGATTTCTACCTCTTTTCCTGACCGTATAACTGGTCTGGAGTAACCTGATCTTATGCTGATCATACAAAGGAGCCAGGCGCTGTTCCAAAGAATGTGAACAACCTGTGGATGTCCTGGTGCTAAGGCTCAGTCTGTGGTGCTATTAGCAGGCAGTGGGAGATGTGGAAGAGATACCAGTGGGAGGGGCCAGCTCCCTAGGACAGGAGGTGGGGTGAGGTTGGAGTGCAAGTCCTTTTCCCCTCCTTCCTTCTCCTCCTTCCCTCCCTTCTCTTTTTCTTTCTCTCCTTCTTTCTGTCCCTTACCTCCTTGCCTGTTGTGAAAAGGTAAGCAGCTTCTCACCACATTCTCTCTGCCATGCTGTGATGCCTCATCACAGCCAAAAGCAACAAGCGGACACAAATGGACTGAAGCCGTGCACATGGATTTAGGATAACCAGAAGCAAAGATCCTTTAAGAATCCAGAAAACTTCTTTACACTCCCTCCCCAGTGCAGAGGAAGAGGTGGAGGAAGTCAAGTGTGCTCTCTGAATTAAGTGCAACTCAACACCACACCTTCCCAGGGTCCAGGGCCTCGCCCTGTGTACTTGGCCTAGGTCTGGTCTGACTGCATCACTGCCCTGTGACCTTGGGCCTCACAGCTCAGAGTCACTGTGTGTGGGGGACAGGACCACAGGACCGGAGGTATGCTGCTTCACCATTGGTTTAATTTGAATGGGGCACTAAGGGTTACTCCTGCATGAGTTCATAAGTGAAGGGTTCTTGGAGGTGGCACTTTCTGGGGGAGAGGACATGCCCTGGGGTCCATGTGGAGACCCTGGTACTTCCTCTGTGAGCCTTCCCCTGTGCCGGACAGAACAGGGATACAGGTGCAGGAATTTGCCTCAGTGGAAAGAGCCAGGCATCCTGGTCTCCTGACCACACTCTAAATACCCCTCTCTTCCAGTCAGGTGCATAAAATGAACAAACCCTTCACCTAACCAAGAAGAAAAGTAAAAGAAGAAAACACTAATGTATAAAATCACAGATGAAAAGGCACATTACAGTTGGCACCCTGTAAATACAAAGGATAATTATAGGTGATTAAAAGCAGTTATATGTCAACAAATTTCAAAACCTAGAAAACATGGATACATTCATGGAGATAAACACCTTAACATCACTGAATAATGAAGAACTAGAGTACTTCAACACATCAACAAGTAATAACACTTAGAAAAAAGCCCTCATCAAAGAAAAGTCAAGACTGAACACTTTCATTGCTAAATCCTATCAAGTATTTAAGGAATAATATCAACACTTCTCTACTCCAAAAATTGAATTGCATCCTTCTACACTCATTCTATAGGGTCACTTGCATTCATAGCAAAAATTGATCTTGGGAAAACAAAAGGAGGAAGGAGGGACCAAAGGAAAACAAGCTAGCTAGCTTCAGATCTATTTTTCTGAACACAGCGGTGAAAATACGCAACAAAGGACTAGCAAAGGGAATCCAAGGTCATGTAAAATTATCCATCAGGGAGATCAAGAGCTAAGCTCCAGAGATTCAATGGTGACCCAACATTATCAGTCATTAAGCAGAATATCAAGTGTACAGAATGAAGGACAAATCCCACATGCTCTTCTCAGTAGATGCAGTATAGAATGTGACAAAATTCCACAATACTACCAGATAAAAACTAGCTAGGTATAGCAAGATCATACTAATTAGGTAGAGCAGGAACATACCTCAGTATAAAGGGGCCACTTACAACATGCACTTGTTAGCAGCACAGGATAGAATAAAAGTGAAAGCTCCCTCTCATAACTTTCACAACTTTTATTCTAAATAGCACTTGAAGTTCTAGCCATAGAAATCAAACAGGAGAAATAATACTAAGATATTCAAATTGTAAATGGAGTCAAAATTTCACTGTTTGCAGACAATGTAATCTTGTTTGAAGAAAATTCTGAAGAGAACCAAAATATTCTTAGAAATGATAGACAAATAGATGCAGAATACAACCTACTGTCACATTTCTAGAATAGCACATTTAAAAAAAAAGAAATCAAGAAAACTAAAATAGCTACAATAGACCAGACACACTCAAGGAGAAATATTAACAGTGAGGCAAATTGTCTTTACAATGACAAATAAATAACACTAGTGAAAGAAATTCAAAAGGACCCTAAAATACAGAACTATATCACATGTTTATAGATTATGAAAATCTTTAGTGTTAAAATTTCTTTAGTTACATGTTGAAAGCAATCCTTATCAAAATACCAATGATGTTCTTCACAGAACTGGAAAACAACCCTGAAGTTCATACAGAACTCCGCCCCTTCCACACCAGCACACCTGCATGAGGGAATGTGCTTGTTCACAAAGCAAATGAAAAAAAAAATGTCTCAGAGCCAAAGCAAATGTCAACAGAACAAAGCAGAAAGCACTGCACTACCTGACTTCAAAATAAAGCCTCAAAGCTGCATCAACTGCAAAGGAATGGTACTGTGACAGAAAATGGTGTGCAGACAAATGGAACAGAGTTGTGAGGCTTGAAATAAACCAGCTAGGGGCAACTCATCCTTAACAGTGCTAAGAATGTGCAGAAAAGAGAAGACATTGCCTTCACTAAGGGGTGCTGTGAAGAGTAGTTGTCTATGTGCAGAAGAGTGAAACTAAACCCCTTCTCTAAGGGAATACAAAATTCAACTAAAATGGATTGAAAACCAAAACTCTGAAGCTACCAAAGGACATGTAGAGGGAAAACTCAAGGATACTAGGAGGGTCAAGGATCGCGTTGTTGCTAGAACACCACAACACATTAACAAAACCAAAAGTAAATGGGATCACAACAAGCTAAATCTCTTCTACACAGGAAAAAAGACAATACAGTGAAGCTAACACTCAAGTTTGAAAGATTTTCAAACTATACTTCTGATAAAACATTACTATATAGATTATGCAAAGACACAAATGATTCAAGAGCAAAATGAATAAACAAACCCAATTAAAATGTGAGCAGCATGTCTAAGA